GAGAGAGAGAGAGAGAGAGAGAGAGAGAGAGAGAGAGAGATACAGGGACTATAACAGCGTGGATGGGGTAGGGGGGAGGGGGGAACGTACATAACAGACATTAGATTGCAGAGCCACGACTCTAGCATGCCAACCGCGAATCTAAGCCAGCCAACGATCAATAACCCTTCCTTTAAAATTTCACGTTAAACCGATCGTACATGGAGGAACCCCAAGGGAGGGGAAGGGGGGAATCGCCAGAGGATTGGGTGCGGGGGTAAACACACTCCATCCCTCCCTCCCTCCCTCCCTCCTCATCACTCGCGCGATGTATGGAAGGTCAGTATAGCCTCTGAGCTCCTCACTCGAGTTCTCTTTCGCTCTCGCTCTCTCTCTCTCTCCATCCCTCCCTCCCTCCCTCCCTCCTCGTCACTCGCGCTATGTATGGAAGGTCAGTATAGCCTCTGAGCTCCTCACTCGAGTTCTCTTTCGCTCTCGCTCTCTCTCTCTCTCTCTCTCTCTCTCTCTCTCTCTCTCTCTCTCTCTCTCTCTCTCTCTACACGCTCGGCCTGAGAACATCGTAACTTTACCACGTTTCTGTTAACGGTCTATGAGAAAAACTTATGAGGACTAATGTGTTTGGACTCATTTTGTTTCTGGCGACGGACTCCCAGCTCATTGCGATGCTCGTTATATATTATCTCTTGATATTATATATATATATTACCCCGGAGAGGAATTCTTCACGTAGCGGCGCCACGTTTTCGAAAGCGATGGCGTTGCTTTGTTGTTGTTCTGACGCGGCCGTGTCGCGTATAGTTGTCCCGCTACGCGCAGACGATTTGTTCGATGTGTATCGTCGTCGTCTGACGGTACCCGTTCCCGCTCAGCAATGTCATGTGATGCTCGGTGTAGCCTGGATCACCGGGAACACGCTCACCTGGATTGGACATCCCGTCGCCTTTACGCGGCGATGGTGAAGGGGAAGGGGCGAATGGAAGCTGGCAGGCGAGCTGTGAATTTCTGTAGTAGAAGTCCATGCGTTATCGGTCATGCAGCGTCTGTTTGTTTGTTTGTTTGTTTGTTTGTGTGTGTGTTTGTTTGTTTATTTGTTTGTTGTGATAATGTTGTAGTATTCTGCGCCGACAAATCGTCTGGGCGTGTCTGTTCGTTTACGATTTCATTTGTCCGTCGGCGCCTGCTAGTAATTTCTGCTTCTTCTTCTGCAGGTTGTGCGTGAGCGGGGACGTGTAGCGGAACAGGCCGCAGGGGGACGGAGTTGCTCATCTCATATTGCCATGACTTGCCGCTAATAACAGCTCATATATATATATATATATATATATATATATATGTATATAAAATATATTATATAATAATGTGTAATAATAGAATATTATCTATAATAATAATATATCATAATAGAAGTATTACGTCTATACGGTTGACGCGCACGTTCGCAGGATCTGGCGACGGAGATCTTGCTGACGCTGGGGCAAGCGTTTGAGGTCGCGTACGACATGGCGCTGCAGGACAAGGCGGACGCGTCGGCGGCTCGCACGCTGGAGAAGAAGCTTCAGGGCTCCTCGCCGTCCGCGAGGAAGCGCAACCACCAGCACCAGCACCAGGGGTCGACGGGGTCGAAGAGTGGCAGCTCGAAATCTAGTTCTATGGAGGAGATCATTTGCTAGCCATCGAGGTATTAAGTTATGTAGTATGTTATGTGATAGCCATTTAGGTATTAAGTTACGTAATATGTCATCTGCTAGCCACTGAACTACTAGGTTTTATCATACAGCATCTGATAGCCATTTAGGTATTAAGTTATGTAATATGTCATCTGCTATTGCCAGCTGATTTCACGATGTTGCCAGCTTATTTAACGATGTTGCCAGCTTATTTAACGATGTTGCCAGCTGATTTCACAATTTTGCCAGCTGATTTCACGATGTTGCCAGATGATTTCACGAGCTGCCAGTGCCAGGGTTTGTGGACGAATAGGATAATTTATTGTGGTATATGGGAACACAAATGCTTACGATCATACCTTGATTTGTACATTTTGTCTTTATTTCGTCATTTTTGCTAGACGCATTATTTGTTGTGTGTAAGCTACGCTTTTTCTTGTTATTGCGTCAGACTGTGGTATAATCAGACACAGCTAGTATTTAGGTTTGCAGGGGTATGTATGGTTACAGATTAATTTAATTTGGCGAGCAAACTGGCAACGTTGTGCTTATAAAACTATGGCATAGTTTAACGTTGTAAAATCATGAAAAATACTTCTGTTTATATTGTTGTTGTTGCTGTATTAAACATTACTATGCTATTTCTGTATTATTTGTTTATTAGTGATATTAATAAATTTAATTGGAATGATGCATATTTGAAATTTTGAAATCATAAATATATGAATTATATTTTGAGAATTAACCTAGGAACGTCAATGTAAAAGAGATGCATTTAATTAAATCGCACATATGCATTATATATATGTGTGTGTACGTGTGTGCGTGCGTGGGTACGTGCGTGTATAATACCTATATATATATATACAAATATAGTATGTTATATATTACGTTATAAAATTTGCACTATCTTGTAACATAACCCTGCTTTTCAAGTGTGATTCAACGAACGTCTCATATTCTAGTCTGTTAACCTGGTGGTTTATATTTGTATAGCTACCAACTTGTTGTAAAGATAATTGTGGCAATTGAGCCAAAAGTCAGACTTGTTTGTGCTTGTAATATATGCTAATCAGATCTTGAAAATAAATTGTTCTACCACTTCTAATTGTATAAAATGTACGTATGGAGTGCTGTGTATACGTTTCAGGCTTGTGTGATCCTATCACCGAATTAAAACACAAAATAGCAGAGTGAAAAATAGTAAGAATTTTACTGAAATGATATTACAAGATTTGCTGGAGTTGTAAAAATATGTGAAGCAACTGTGTTTCACTATGAGTAGAAATCTCATACAGACAGAAATATACTAGATGTGAAATTCATTTCGGTGCTAACTATATGCATCCGTAAAATACCAGCTAAGTAAAACACTATCACCTTGGTACGACTATTTTAACAACTATGTGCAGAGAAACAGAGAGAACGAGTGCAACAGTAGAAGTGATTTAACATTACAACCGCGTAAAAGTTCAAATTAAAACCATGACAAAATAATCCCAAAATGCAATTCGTAAATGGCATAATGGATTCCACGAATCCTCAACAAAATGGAAACGTGCTGCCAGCATTTGCTGTCCAACGTTCTTGTATTATCTAGTTGTACTACGCAATTCATCTCGAATTTTCATTATATATTTGCGTAAACATTGTAGTATCTATCATATATATATATACTATAACAACTTTCTACTAAGTGGTGCGTCTTTCGTGGTCATTTTGAATGATCATTTATAGCTCTATATCATAACGTTTTTGATTTAGATTTTCCGATCAACTGATCCTGTTAATTTGATTGCAAAGTGAGGTACTCGTATCTCTTACGTACGATGTTGAAAAAACCCAACTTACAGTTCGACGGGAGAAGCCGTTTCGCTGCGCCCTCTATACTAACGAACAATCACAGAAGACGGTTGATGGCAAACATGGCGACATGAGGAGTAATAGATCTGTTAGCGTTGTCTCCACCACGTCTATCCGATCTCACTGGTCACCTGTCAAATCGTCGATGCCGCAGCGTCATCGATATTCCATCAATCCTTCCTACACGACGGATCAATTACCTCTACCGTAATACCGTATGAGTACTGCCAGCGATAAACGGACAACATGGCGGCTCCATTTTGCCATGTTCGCTGAGCGTGCTGTGCGATTACCCCTAACTTCTGTTGAGGGGTGGTTCCACACATCAGTACATAGTGAACTAACGTCGGTGGCACCCCACACTATCACACTAGCTCGCAGCTAACGTTGCAGATAACGTCGGTGCTCCATCACACAGTGCTCGCAGCTGAGGCCTGCAGTCAACGATGCACAGAAAGTAGTCGATGTTCTAGCTGTCGCATTCCCACACGCTGGCGGCTCCCATCTCTAAACTCATCCCGGGCTCCGGCCTTTCTCTCGGCTTCACTTGTGTCTTTTTCCTTAACGAAATCGGTTTGGTTTCCTGCCATCAACGCCCACTGTGCCGTGCCCGGCTCGGTGGTCCCGTCTGTCTCTTCTCCCATAAGGCACTGCGCTGACGATTGTCGAGAAAGCATATAGTGATTGTCCTTGTGACTATGGCCACGCGTGCGGCGTGTGTCCGACGATGCTAGGACCGCGCTGTGGTCACTGCAGCCGATGCGGCCAGTACTGCGATGGCATTTCCTGCGCTGGTACGGGCACAGGTAGGCCTGCCGCGAGTAACCCTGCAACAACAGTTCATATACACCTATTATATCAACGTCACACGTATCGATAACACAATAAATCAATCAATCAACCGATAATTACATTAATATATAATAATAACACATAGGACCTATACGTGTTATTATCAGCGTGATATCAACGTGTTTTAGAAGCGTCGTATTCGTCATTGTGACGTCATGCAGTCCTATTCGACATATATACAGATTCCGTGTATGTATTGAAGAGGAACGGACACCGGCATGTCTCTGTTTTATATACATAAATTCAGCACAGGTTCTTAGTAATGATAAATAATTAAATTTAATTAAATTGATAATAAATTTTGCGTTATAAACGTTCGCTTGAATAACTACAGTCCTAAAATTAATATTGACCGTCTAGCTCCAACGTTAATTTCAGTCCAATAAAACTAAGGTATTCCCCCTGTAATCATGATGACTTTATTTATTTGACAACGTTAAACTTTTATATAACCCTTGGTTTAAATATCATTTTAATGTTGTTTCATAGTTGTTCTCTCATATAAATAACCCCATCTTCGTTCCATTCTCCATGGATCTTTTTAGCAGTCAGCACACAAAAATAATGAATTTATTGAGTATTGAATTTATAGTATATATACGTTTATATATTTATATATATAGAAACGATTTTATATTGTATGAATTTCCACAAGTGTTGGTTACGTAAGAAAAATGTGCCTTTAATGTGTACATTAAAATGTAAAAATATTGCATTCGCACTAATCATGATATTCTTTCGCTGGCTAAATTCGTGTATTTTCGTTTGCTATATTCGCGTATTTTTTGCTGGTTAAATTCGCGTATTTTTATTAGCTACATTCGCATTTTTTCGCTTGCAACACCATGAATTTTCGCTTGCTATATTCGTGTATCTAACTATATATACGTGTATTTTCGCTAGGTACATTCGTGTATTTTTGCTTGCTAAATTCGCGTATATTCACTGACGACATTCGCGTATTCTCGCTTGCTACAGTGCGATTATGCGCTCCATTCATGAACTCGCTTTATCTACACGGCAGATCTACCATGCGAAGAAATTCATGCTCGTCACACGGCCACTCGATCGGTGCATCCATCCAAACATTCGCGCTACGTGTACTGAATGGCTTGGAAGCCGTGTACGCAGAAAGAAACGACACAATATCGGCGCAAATATTTTCCAACGTAGCTTCAACGCCTTCGTTTATTCTGCGTCTAACGCGAGACGAAATGTCGATCGCGTACGAATACAAATTAACCCTCAATAGCGGGCGGCTGGCTTTTTTTTATCGGAGGTTCTCATTGGAAGCGTAAGCCGCTGGCGTGCGATGTGGACTGGGGCTCACACGGAGGGAGGTCTACTTAGTATGCGGTACGTTTGAAGGCGTATTAGCGAACGGATAATTTAACAGACTTTGCCGGAGCCCTGCGTACACACGGGCGTTCTCTCACTGCCGGTCCGACACGGGAGGATGGGGGGGGGGGAGGGGTTATGAGCGCGTATGTATGTATGTATGTATGTATGTATGTATGTATGTATGTATGTATGTATGTATGTATGTATGTATGTATGTATGTATGTATGTTGTCTGTGTATGTGTGTGTTGTGTGTGTGTGTGTGTGTGTGTGTGTGTGTGTGTGTGTGTCTGTGCGCTGTGTTGTGTGTGTGTGTGTGTGTGTGTGTGTGTGTGTGGGTGGTTGCGTGTGTGTGTGTGGTGTGTGTGTGTGTTGTGTGATGTGTGTGTGCGCGGTGCATGGGTGTGTGATTGAGCGCGTGCGTGTGTTATGTGTTGTGTGTGTGTGTGTGTGGTGTGTGTGTGTGTGTGTGTGTGTGTGTGTGTGTGTGTGTGTGTGGTGTGTGGGCGCGTGCATGTGTGTGATTGAGCGGCGTGGCGTGTGTTATGTGTGTGTGGTGGTGTGTGTGGTGTGCGTGCGTGGCGCGTGTGTGTGTGTGGTGCGGTGGCGTCGCGTGCGTGTGTGTGGTGTGGCGTGTGCATTGTAGAATTTCGTAGAAGGAGCGAGGAGAAGAAGAAGAGGAGCGTGCGCGCCAAAGTGTAGAGTGGCCTCTCCTGCGCTGACGAGCTGCGTACATCAAGCTATTAACACATCTTTCCGTACCGCCCCCCCCCTCTTCCTGCCTTCTCTCTCTCTCTGCTCTCTGCTCTTCTCTCTCTCTCTTCCGGGACCGCGGGTGAGAAGCCGGGCGTTCCAGCGAACCCCCGCCGCTGTACGGGGGGGGAGACGGCTGAAGAATGATACCCGGCTGATTTAGCGGCCTGTCGCGCGCCGAGTTAGAACTCACGGCGCGGGAGATGGCCGGGTTACAGAACAAAGTAGCATTGTTTGAGCGGACTGCTCGCGATGCGAGCGCCAGATAGCAGGCGCCGGCTAAAAGCGTGGGGCAGCATCGCGTAACCAGCGTAAGCACAGACGTCGTATGTGTTGAAACAGGTCCTTTGCTCTGGGCCGGCAGGCGGGGCCGGTGAAGAGACCAGCCTGTTAAATGGGCGCCGGGCCAGCGAGTAGGCCATAGAGTGGCCGTTTGTTCGTGAGGCGCAAAAGTGCAGTGAAAAGTGTAGTAGCCCTCGCATAGCTCTAGGCTAGAATTCCTTTAGAAAGCAGGCGAGTACGCAATATTTCCTTCGTTGCCATATGTTAATGGCCAATAAATTAATATTGGCAAAATGCTTTTTAATTCTTGATGACGTCAGAGTCATTCTCATATATTTTTATTTGCCGTAGCCGTATAATATACTATATATATTATATATATATATATATATATATATATATATATATGGCAGATATGAGTGGCATTTTTACGTAGTCTTTGTATTTGTGTACCGCTACCCACAATGAGCATATTGACATAATGAATATGAGATGAAGTAAGATTGAAATCTGCTATTGTTTTTAGATATTTATATATACGTATATTAGCGTATATATAATATAATATGATATATATTATCTATATATTAAGTTATGTGTGGTGGCGTAGTATATATATATAGTATATAGTTATATATATATATTATATAGTGCGTAAATGGCGTGTGCGGAGTGGCATGTGTGTACGACCGCCCGCGCGCTCACACACAGGTCGGCACACGACGGCACGATGGTCACGGCGCGCACGCACGCACACCCCACGGCACCCACACAGCTGGCTATTCGCGCAACACACATCACACACACACCCTCAGGCACACACACACACGACACAGCACACACAAACACAGGGACACACACCACACACACACAGCACACGACACACACGACGCACAACACCACACACACACATGGCCACACACACAGCACACACACACACACACACACACACAGAACACACACACACACACACACAACATAGAGACCAAGCAGACGCACAGCAAATATATATATTATATATTATTTATATATATATATCAACAGGTTTGCGTTTACCAGTACTGGAGCGCGTTACTGAGCCTTAGGCTGGCCTTCCATTCCCTGCAATGCCACGTTAGCTGAGCTCACCGGGCCGCCTCTGGATGGGTAGCCACCCTAGGCTGGAGAGAGGTCGTAGCCGGCGTGTAGGGAGGCGGGATGCTGTAGCGGGTAAGAGGAGGCGTCCTCGGGCTGCTGCTGGCAGGCACGTAGAAGACTGAGTGGGCTCGTTGTTGCATTCCGTACTGCGGCATGCTGAGCGACGGACCTATAGAGGTAAGAGTAGACTGTGTGACGGGAAATTATTCGTACGATTTACGTGGGTTTATACTAACGAACGCTCCACTAAAAATAAATAATAAAGACGTATAAAGATCTAAAAGATAATATTTTAACAAAAACATGATAAATATAAAAACTAATAATATTATTGGTAATTTTACCAGAAATTAGCACTATTTAAGCATGGATTTTTAAGTAACATCTTGGCTTTAATTAAAATGGGCAATTTTCATATTTAATTTTATTTTTAAGTTATTTGGCTAGACATTTATATGTATTATAACGTTGTCCGTCGTTTACTCAGTTTGCTTTGTTGATTGCGTATTATGAAGTAAATTGAGTACGTCGCTTTCAGCTTTAACTTACGCAGGTGCTCAAGTATTGTTATTTATTTGCCTTTTGCCAATTTAATTATATTTCATTCATGGGCTGCGTGATCGGACGCCGTGAGTGCGTTCTGTGTAAGTTCTGTGTGCGTGTTCATGATTGCTTGTTCTGCTTAGGCCCGCTCCGTCTGCGGTGGGTGGCTGTGGTCATCGACGTACAGGCCCGCTTGCCGGTTTAAACAACTGCTTGATGGGCGGCGTCGCCACGGAGGAGACGGGCGAGGTGGTCGTGGCTACGGGGAAGCTGTCTTGCCGTCGCCGGCTGACTTCTCCAGGCTTCTCCTCTCGTGCCGGCATTTTGGCTCGCCGATCTAGAAAACGCAGACTATACGCGATGTGCGAGATTGCCATGAATCGAGCTGACGGCATCGCTTTCGCTTGCGAGTCGGTGGCTGGCAATGAGAAGATAAATGTATTTGTTAAGAATGTAATCGTTTAGGACGTATGCGTTGCGGATCCGCTGGGCGGTAATCGCAGCAGGATATGGCGTGGCGCATCCATGCGCGTATAAGCGACGACTTTGATCGGCATCTGTCGTGCAAGACGCCACTCAGAATGAAGCGGAGTGTAAAATCGAATGCAGCGCTGGTGGCTTCCAGTGTTAGAAATGTTCGAGCCATTATGCAAAATTGTTTCGCCTCGTCAGAAGCGAAGGCGTCTTCGCACTTCGGACGCTAACTGCGGTTTTTTAATTAATGATATTAAGGATGTTTAAATTCGCCGCCTGCGGCCAGCTGTTCAAGGGTTATTACGCTAGTGTTTAGTGGGCGCTTATGTTGTAAATATTGTGCCGCGGCTATGTACTTAGCATTTTTCTCTATCTAAAGGTGCTATCTCAATGTAGCTCAGCGCCTGTATTTGGCCTCAGGTAGGCTCTCTTGGCCACGCCCCCTT